TAAAAACCCTTTTTTTTTTTTTTTTTTTTTTTTTTTTTTAGGGAGAGAGAGAATTTTTTTTTATATTTATTTTCCAGTTTTCGGTGTTTATGTGGTGCGAGCGCGGAACCGCTTTAGCTACATCCCCAGCCCAGAAAACTCTTTTAAATGTGATAATGAAGGAAATCTAGAGGGACAGCTAGCTACTCCCCTTCCGGGCAATCTTCAGGTGAAAATCAAAGCAGAGCGACCTTGGTTGTAAAGTAAAGGAATGTGTCAAAGCGGATGCAGTGGTGTAGACCTGTGATCCCAGCCACTGGGGAGGCTAAGGCAGGAGGAACGCAAGCTCTAGACCAGGCTCAGCAATTTAGCAAGACCCTAAACAATTTAGTGAGACTCTTTCTCAAAATTAAAAATTTAAAAAAGGTCAGGGATGTGGCTCCGTGGAGGAGCTCCGTGGGTGCCATCCCTGGCACACAAAACCTCTGAAGAGCTGCGCCTGCGCAGTAGGCATGCCACCTGTCCGGTAACTCCTCTGCTGGTGGGTTCTGACCGCCTCCCCCCCACATCCCGCTCCCCACCTGCAGCCTTCAAGGCCCCTCTCTGTTGAGTCCTTGAGTTCTTTGGGGTTGGTTGGTGTTCTGCAGGCTGCAGAGGAAAGGCTCACAGTCTTCTGAGCACCAACTCCACGTTCATCTCAGAGCAGGGAGACAGGCCTACCAGCACACTGCCGACCCCAGTTCTCCTGCTGGAGGGCGGTGCCCCAGGCATCTCAGGAGGGTCTAGTCAATGGCTGGTGGGAATGTGGCCTCCCCTTTCCCCAGTGAGTTTTACTGCTGGGGACGCCAGGCTGCCCTGAAGCCAAGTGGCCCCTGGACAGCAGCAGACACAGCAGCCAGAGCCCCCTCCCAGCTAGAAGCCAGGGAAAGAGGCATCTGCCACACCCAGTCCCAGAAGATGCTGGGAGGGACAGAGTCTGGCCTTGCCACAGGCAGACATGATCCTGTACACAGGCCTGACCTGGGGACCCCAGGGGGTCCATGTGGGCACACCTGCCTGTGCTGTCCCCCCACCCACTCAGAGAGTCCTCAGGACTCACTTCTCCTGGGACCTTCCCTAGCACCCTTTCCGAAGAAGGGGTGAGGATGGTGCTCTTCATCCTGTGACCTTTTATTCACCTTCTGGGGATGGTGCTCTTCATCCTACGACTTTGAGAACCACTATTTTCTTGGTTGGTTTTGGTTTTATGTTAAGGATTGAATCCAGGGGTACTTTACCATCAAGTTACACTTTTTTTTTTTTGGTACCCGATTGAACTCAGGGGCACTTAAACCAGGGAACTACATCCCCCCACCCCCCTTTTTTTTTGTGATGCTGGGGATTGAACTGAGGGCCTTGTGCATGTGAGGCAAGCACTCTACCAACTGAGTATATCCCCAGCCTCCTCCCCTTTTTGTATTTTATTTAGAGACCAGGTTTCACTGAGTTGTTCAGGGCCTCACTAAGTTGCTGAGGCTGGCTTTGAACTCGAGATCCTCCTGCTTCAGCCTCCCCAGCCCCTGGAATTACAGGTGTGCAGTCACTGCCCCGCCACTTCCAATTCTTTTCATAAGTTTTTTTTTTTTTTTAAGTTTGGAGACAGGGTCTTCTAAGTGGCTGAGGGTCTCGCTGAAGTGCCCAGGCTGACTTTGTTCTCCTTCCACAGCCTCTGCAGGGCTGGCACCTCGGAAGCACCACCACCCGCCCTCTGGTCCCCGGTCGGAAGCTGCCTGGCTCTTACGCGGAGCCAGGTGAGCGTGGCTGGCCGGCACACTTCTCCTGGTCCCAGGTCTGGGCGCTTCGGCTCCTCACGACCTAGAGGGCTGCGGGAACCGGGAGGGATGCGGAGCTGCCCGCCGCCCAGTTCCTATGGAGATGCCAGGCTCCTGCGGCATACACCCCCGACTAACGAGGTCCCTAAGTGAGGGGGCGGGAGCAGGGAGAGGGAGCGAGCTGGGCGTGAGTCCACCAGGCCCAGGCCCCCAGAGTCTGCGCGCGGGCGGACAGCAGAGGAGGGGGCCGGGAGGCGGTGGGGCCTCCCCTCCGCTGCGCCATTATCAGTGCCCAGCAGGGATCCGCACCTCGAGCGGGGGCGGCGGCTCTCTCGGGGCCTCTACTGAGCACGCAGATCTGCAGCGAGGCCGTGCGCAGTGACCCGCGGGGGAGGGAGGGGATGGCGCGGGAGAGGTGGACATCCGCTCTCATCTAAGGCAGCAAAACGTCCTCCCCGGGGGTTGAGGGCTGCTTGGCCCCGAAAAGCACAGTCCCTCAGGGTCAGTTTCTAAAATGAGGCACTGACCAGGGTCGGGCGGGAGCTGAAGCCCGTGCGCAGAGCTCCCCAGACGCGGGGTGGGAGCGCGGCTCAGCCGAAGGGCGCCTGGGGCCGGGAGAGCCTGCGAGCTGAGACCCTCCCGGCGGGAAGCCCTAGGCGGCCGGTCCATTCCACCAGCCCCCAGCCCAGCCCCCAGCCCAGCCCCCAGCCCAGCCCAGGAGGAAGGGGGCGTGCGGCTCGGCCTTGCCCCCAGCAGCGACGGTCAGCTTCTTCCTCGGGGTGGCTGCTGTATTCAGTTCCACAGCCTTGGAACCCCTGGGTCAAAACACGACCCTCCCCTCCTCCTCCCCTCCTTTCCCCTCCCCTCCCCTCCTTCCCTCTCCCTCTCCCACCTCCCCTCCACTACCTCTCCCTCTCCTCCTCC